CCCAGATGGCAACTTTTTGCTGCTGGGTACTGACTTGGGTCGCCTTTTTGCTTTTAGTACCTTCTCGGGGGCCCCCGCGGCCCTTTGGGGGCCCCCTGGGGGCCCCCCGGCCTTCTTTGGCCGCCCCGTGGACAGCCTTGGGGGGGCCCTTTTGGGGGCCCTGGGGGCCCCCTCGCTCAGCAGCAGCAGCAGCAGCAGCAGCAGCGGGGTCTCTCGAGAAGGCTTCATTCATGCTGCTTCTGCTGATGCTAATACTGTCTTCATGGGCAACAAAGACGGGTGGGTTTATGCCTATGACTTAAAAGCAGCAAACAACCCAGGGGGGGCCCCCCGGGGGGGCCCCCAGGGGGGCCCCTGGGGGGGCCCCTGGGGGGGCGAGGGCCCCTGGGAGGGGCCCCTGGGGGGCCCCTGGGGGGCCCCCAGGTACTGCTCTGCATGCGCCCACGCAGACAACAGGGACTGGGGGCCCCTGGGGGCCCCCGGGGGCCCCCAGGGAGATATTTGGGGGGAAGGCTGGCAGCAAGAGTGCTGCTGCTGCAGCAGCACTTGGGGGCCCCTCACTGCGTTGGGGCCCCACTGGGGGGCCCCCCTGTGGGTAGCAACAAACCCTAAATATGATATTGTAGCAACAGCAGGATTGAACTGCTCTATTTGGAAATCGAATTGCAGCTGATGCAGCAGCAGCTGCTGCAGCAGACGCTGCTGCTGCTGCTGCTGCTGCTGCTGCAGCAAACGCTGCAGCACCACCTGCACCAGCGGCCTCCGCCGCCCCAGCAGCAAAGAGGCACGCGAGCAGCAGCTGCTGCTGCTGCTGCTGCTGCTGCTTCTGTAGTTATTAAATCAACTGCGGTTTTCGCCTCCGCCCAATTGCATCCATTTGCATCTATTTAAACCTAACTTTAACTTTAAATTTATTTAAAATTAAAACATAAATATGAGTATAAATATAAATATAGATATAAATATAAACATACATATAAATAATAAATATGAATTTCAATGTAATACAAGTATAAATAGGGCCGGTGGCAGCAGCAGCATCACCAGCAGTGCTGCTGCGGCAGCAGTGCTGCTGTTCCAATGCTGTCTTCTGCATGGCTGCAGCTGCTGTGGTGAGCCTGCGTTATGTGCAAGAGCAGCAGCTGCTGCTGCAGCTGCTGTTGTTGCTGCTGCAGCCGCTGCAGTTGCTGCTGCTG